TATATAGTTATATCAAGAGTTTATATTAAAAATCACTATATCGAGCTGAATTTATATATAATGAAATGGGAAATTTTCCATCTTCACTATATCGTACGATTCACTATACAGTAGGTTCACTATATCAAGCGCCGACTGTATATCGTTGGATAATAGAGAAATACTCATTTCATGTTAGAAAAAATATATAATAAATTTCAACATTAAAATAAATTATTAACAAACTATATAATGATTTCATTCATTCATAAAATAGTAAATGGAAACAAATTTTGGTTTATCGCCTATAGTGGCAATCATCTAAAGACATCATCAAATGTTGACAATCTTTAAGTGCTGATACTTTATTAAATATGGGCTATTTTACCAAAAACTCTCTATTTTTGCAAGATTCTAGACATGAAAAATAATGTAATAGAAAGTTTTTTAGAGTTATTTAATTAGAAAAAAAGTTATAATGGTTTAAAGTTGGGTAACTTTGCTATTTTATTTGAAATTTCGGCAACTATATATCTAAACTGCAATTTACCAATTATTCACGTGATAAAGTCACAGATCTTTTACAAATTTGGATTTATTTTTATATATTGGATTCTTTATAAAGCAAGATCAGCATAAAAATTTTCGGCGAGTGGCGCAGCACGTGATGTCTTTAGATGATTCGCACCATAGTTGAACATAAATTGGAAAAGTTTTTGTTAGTTTGACCTTTGGAAATAACATTTTCAGTTACCTTTCTCCAGTTGGAGGACTTTCTTATATACCAGTTCAAATATGATTGTCAGAGGTCCTGTTTGTATTCATGAATACCATGAATACCGTTAGGGAGTGGGTAAACGCTATTAAAACAGCAAAATCCCTTAAAATCACTTGATAGTGTGTGACCCTGTGTGACCTCATTACGGTATCTGTGAATACAAACCCTATCCCTTAAACGTCATTTTTTAATTGTAACTCAAAATCAAAAGGATCAGCAACAGTTATACAAAAACCACATGGACAATACCCGAATTTTTTTTACAGTCCAGTCGGTTAATATCTCAGGGATTATTTTCATATTAAAAAGTGATATTTTTAGAAGAATTTTATATACATATCAGAAAAATTTTATCGACTATAATAGCCGATTAACCGTTTAATGGATAATAATTATCAACGACCCACACACGGAATGATCACAAAAATATTTTCCATCAACACTGTGACTTGAAGGTGACTGCAACATTATAATTCGGGTTAATAAAGGATTGAATTTAAACCAAAAAAGGAAACTCAAACTGAAAAAATTGTTACCATAAGGACTACTCATTAATACATTTTTAATTAGTTTTCATAAATAATTACATAAAGGTTCACGTTAATATGACAATTTTCTCCTTTTTATAAATATTTGATGTTGATTACACGATAATTATTAATACCATAAAATCTGGAAAGATAACACCGAACTGAATGGAGTGCGGACCGAGTCGGTCTGGACTTAGGTATCAAAGACTGTTTGGGCCGATGATTTTTTTTTTTAATCATAAAAGCATTTATTTCAATTTTATTTGTTAAAAACATTATTATCATCATAACTCGTTTCAAATTATTAATATATTAAAAAAAAAGGATATATATAAATCAAATTCCATTCATTGTCTCTACGAATTGCCATTCCTTATGAAATTCAACTTTTTAAGCAAATAGTCGCCGAGAAGTATCAGGTAATGATTTATTTCGTAATTTACTAATAGTTAAACCTGCAGTGAAAAAAGCTTCTTCTGCTGGAACACTAGTTAAATTGTATTACCAAATAATCCCTTGATTTATTCGAATCATTCGTTTTATCTGTTTTATCCGATTCATTTGTTTTATCCGAGTCATTTGTTTTATCCAGTTCATTTGTTCCATTCATTTCATTTGTTTTATTTGTTTTATTTGTTTTATTTGTTTTATTTGTTTTGCCTTATTTGTTTTACTCGGATAAACTTAAATCTGGATCACGGTCTGGGCCGCGACCTCGGACTGGCCCTTCAATTAAACTGCAGTTTTTATACTAGACCGTTAACAACCCTATAAATAAACCTCCCATATTAATAGACACGCTTATAAATAATTTTAGTATTAGGGGTGTAAGAATCTGTCTATCACCATGTTCTAGATTTTTGTACCGATGTTTTAAAAAATTTATAACTATGATTATTATTATCATTATTATTGTGTTGTTGTTGTTGTTGTTACTTTAAGAATCCCACTCTATAACTTTTGAAACAATGCTTGTCTTTCCAATGACTGAGAAGATTGAGAATTTGATATTTTTAATAGAAACTATATTTATTAATATTTTGACATGTTACAAATAACTCAGTTTCTATATTTTACCTTTTGTTACTTTATTCCGTTTAATTTTTTTTTCAATCTTCAACATTGGTCTGTAATAATCTTGTAATTTGAAATTTGTGAAATTCAATTAACCAATCGGAATTTCATATCTAAACACCCTGTTACTCAAATTCGCACGATTTTTACATTGCATTGTATTTTTAGTTTTTTGACAAATTATAATTTTTTTTTTATTATTCAAAAATCTACGAGTGTTACGTTACACTTGAATGGAATTCTGGATGTAGGTTCCAAATTTGTACTAATGTTATTTTTTGTGAATGCATCAACTTTAATTAATTGTAACATACAAAAATGCTAAAGCAATCATTTGTCATAATAACCTAAATTTTGATTGTCTAATAAAACTTTTATTTATGTTGCACTAAAATGATTTTCTTTTTGAAGGTTCGAATGACAAAATTTAAATTTGCAATTCATTATTTATCTTTAATTAACACATTTTGATTATTTGTTTTTAATCACCCAGATTATTTGTTTTTGTTTTTATTTAATTATCGTAAATAATGCTAAACAATAATAACACCAACAAATACTATATTAATCAATTTAAAATGGAAAGAGTTCTCTTGATTCGATTGTTAGAACTTGAAGTTGTAAATAATATAATTTGTATAGTCAACAAAGTAACAATTCAAACTTGGCATTTCATTAAGTATTTGTGGTTACAATCAGTGAGTCTAGCATAATTTCACACAGTGAAAGCATTGAGCATAACAATGGTTTTACAAGTACTGGTAAAATATTATGAAAGTTATTGTAGAACGATTATTGTTCTCGATGCAGAAATCTTTGTGAATTACTACTAGCGAACAGTAAAGGAGATAATGGGAAAGGAAAAGGTGACCAAGATCACCTTAGATAATAATCTTGTTCTTTGTAACTATCATCATTAGTGTATTAATTTTCCAATTATGACCACAGCAAGTTTATTAATCATCTGAAAGAATAAATTGTTGTAATAAATAATATTGTTTATAATATTCTCTTGTGACATAATGCTCAAGAATTCACCAAACAAATATTTAGTCGCATTAACGATATTTAAATTCTATTAAAGATCACGGTACAGGTATTTCACATAGTGATTGAAATTTTATCAAAGCATATTAATTAATTGCCTTCAAGTCTATAAACCTTTTACGAGATATTGATTTGTGTCAAATTCTTTTGTGGATAAATAAAAACATCTGAATTTGCATTCTATTGCATGAATATTTTAGCAGATACTGAAATTTGGCTCATTGACAAAAAAATAAATTTAAAACGGTTAAATGTTTGTAAATATACAATCAAAAGTTGACTAAAATAGTGCAATTTTACAAATAAACTTAATTGATGCGTGGGATCAATTATCTTTATTTTTGTAACACCGTTATTATGTGTAAATTAACTTGCATATTATTATGTAAATGTGCGACGGAAAAATTTTTAACCCTTGGCAAACCTTGATTAATATTATAAGAGGCTATGCAATAGCAGAACAACACAAAAGAGTATTAACTAGTGCAAATTTATTTATACAGAATTGCTAACAAAACTCACAGTGAACACATCATACTTCCACTCATCGATATTCCCAAGGCGTTGTTTCCATCTTGAAATTGGCGTTGGCAGTTTTGGCTGCAGGGGTATGGATCTATACGACGACGGATTTTAATTTCATATTATATTAATATTAACAATAATCCGGCATTCAAATATCTGTTTGATTAATAGATCGATCGGTCATCCCCTTGATAATTAATTTTTTTTTTGGAAATTGTTTGTAACATTTACATTTAATACAAAACTACATTTAATTTTAAAAGTAAATAAATAAACAAGTATTAATTTGTAATTAACTTCAACTTTTGAAATTTCGACGAATGATAAAAGGCGAATTATTAATTGGACAAATACGGAAATCCATGAAACTAATAATGTGATAATGCGCGTAATAAATACAATAAATAGATAAACTTTAAGTTTTAAATTTTAATTCATCCATCAATTAAAAAAAAAAAAAAAAATAATAAATAATATATTTCTTCACTTTCTTTTCACTTTTCGTGATTTAATTAATGCATCCACGAAGTATCACGTTATAAATTTATAATAATAGTTAATAATAAATAATATAATAATAATAATAATAATAATAATAATAATAATAATACTATATATAATAACAGCAACTGCAATATAATATAATAATATAATAATGGAACCTTATAGTTATTTTTGGTTGTTAATTGTAACTGGAGTCTTCGCCTTTATTAATGGGTTTGGTATCGGAGCGAACGATCTTGCAAATAGCTTTTCAGCAGCTGTTGCTTCTAAAGCGCTTACTCTAAAACAAGCATGTTTAATAGCTGTTGTTACTGAATTCTCTGGGGCCTTTTTTTTAGGTAAATAATTAAATTTTCCCACACCAAACAAAATTATTTAAATTTAATAAAGGGTGGCTTTTTTTTTCTAGGAGTAAACACCGCAGAAACTCTTCGTAATAATGTTATAAATATTGATCATTTTAAAGAGAGACCTGATTTATTAATGGTAACTAAATAAATGATATTGGTGTGTTATAATATATATATATATTAATATATAGTTATTTATTATGATAGCTTGGAATGGCATGTGCGTTATTGGGATCGTCAATTTGGCTTTTATTTGCATCAAGCAAAGGATTACCTGTGTCTACAACACATTCAATAAGTTAACTATCATTTTTTATCGTAAAAAATTAATTTAGTACGTTCTACAGTCATGCACACGTATGTATATTAAATTTTTGCTATAATTATTAATCAATAGTTGGAGCAATTCTTGGAGTTGGAATAGCTGCATATGGTCCCGGAATAGTAACGTGGAGTTATAATGGCGGCGTATTGAAAATAATTACATCATGGATTATTTCGCCTTTTATTGCCGGTGCAGCTGGAGCATTGATTTTTTTTATAACTCAATATTTCATATTAGAAGCAGATGAAAATTCGTTTGAAAGAGGTCTAGTTGCCGTTCCAGTATATTTTGCAATAACAATGGGAATCAATATACTTTTTTTGGTATATAAAGGTGCTCCTGGATTAAAATTAGATAAAATCCCTCCAGGTATATATATATATATGTGTATATGTATATTTATTTATATGTTATTTATTTTTGGTTTTGGTTTTTTCTCAAAGATTTTTTCTCGATATTTAAAAATATTTTTATTTAGAGGAAATGGCACCAGTTGTTATTGGTGTATCGTTAATTTTAGCAGCATTCTCCTATTTTTTCTTTGCTCAATGGATAAGACGTAAAGTAATCGACGGCGAAGATTTGAAAATACGTCATATATTTATTGTACCTTTTATGAATCCACGTTTCAATTCCAATAATGCTCTTTCGGGAGTGTTTGATACATGCAACTCAAATGATAGTTCCTCGAAGAATTCCGTTCGTATCCATGGCCAGGACTTTGAAATAACGACGACTCAACAAGGCATCATATTAGAAATACAAGGGAACAAATCAATGATACGAATTTTTTTTGATAAAATAATAAAGATTTTAACGTATAGTTTAAATAAGGATGTGGCAACGTACAGGAAAGAAGCACGTCAAGACTTGTATGATGTTGCTCGCAAATATGATAAGAGCACCGAATCGTTATATACTTTCTTACAAGTTTTGACTTCGGCGCTTGCTTCATTTGTACATGGTAAATAATAGTAATTATTATTATAATAATTATTATTATTATATCTACATATTAATAAATGTTATATAATTTTTTAAAATCCAGGTTCTAATGACGTAGTCAATGCAGTTGGGCCACTAGCAACAGTACTTGAAATATACCAACAGGGATCATTAGGCAGTTATGGTCAGATACCAGTATGGGTGTTGGCATTAGGTGGAGCTGCAATTGATATGGGTTTAGTGTTTTATGGGTATAATGTAATGAGAAGTTTGGGTAATCAGATTACCTATCACTCTCCAAGTAGGGGATTCTCAATGGAATTGGGCACTTCGTTAACAGTATTAATGGCATCCCGATTAGGCTTACCGATATCAACTACACAATGTATTACGGGCGCTACAATAGGCGTAGGGTTGTGTAATGGCACCCTTAAAGCCATCAATTGGAAAATAGTTTTATGGTGTGTGTTGTCTTGGGCTTTGACGTTACCTATTGCAGGGATAATATCAGGAGCAATTTTTTATTTTATTATAAACGCGCCAGGTCTTGTTTAGATAAAATATACACCGTAAAGTCCCGAAAGATAGTACCAAGTAGGATTGTCTTTTTTTCCAGTTTTATGCATGTGGTGTTATCTTTCGGTACTTTACGGTGATTGCCGATTTAATTATCCATTCCTTGTAATATATTTGTTTATATTTTTATATTTTATATATTTATTCATTCATGCATTTGACTTGTTATATATCATTAACAAATTAATTAACAAATTAAAAATTAAGAAATCCATGAAATTCGTAGATAAAATACCTAATATTAGTAATAATTTATTTCAATATCAATAAAAACATTTAATATGAATAAAAAAAATTTTTAATTATTAAAAACAGAAACATTATTTGAATTTCTTTTTAAAACGATATTTTAGAAATAACATCATGGGATAATTTGTTCCTTCGTAGCGTTATGTGATTTCCGACATCAGAGAATAAACATTCAGAGGGTACAAAAGTTGCATTGATACATAAATAATTTTTTGTTAGAATTGACATGATAGGAAATTCATCCTTTCTATCATCCTTTCTATCATTCCACCAAATCAATGGATCTACTTACCTGAAAGCAAATTGGCAAAGAAAATTTTTTTCATATATATTCAATTTGTGATTCTTCACATTGTTGTAGGTTATCAAATAAACAATCAAAAACTGATTTTTTTTCATCAGAATTATTTCTTAAAGGAAGGATTACACTTCTTGAATGTGAAGGACCGCTAAAAGGACTGCTATTATGTTGTTTAATTTATATTGAATTTTTAATGTTTGTAATATTCCTAAATGTGTTTCTTTCATCAAGAAATTTCAAATATTTGAACTGTGGATCTAATGTTGATGTGAGCATTGCTAAGACAGAAGGATCAGACCAATAATGGTTTGTTGAAACTATTTTTTTATATAATCTGTCAGTGTTCACAGGATTTGAAATATTAATTTTTTTCTTTTTTCTTTCCCCATTATTTTCCTCAAAAAACAGAACATCTCCTTGTTCACTTTCTTCTAATGATGGTAGTGGTCATTACTCTTGACCTTCTGACTCTTCTTCATTTAAGAAATCATCAGTATTAATTGATGGAATTATATTATCATTGTCATTATCATTATCATTATTGTTATCATTATAAATTAAAGATAATGTGACAATTTGCTATATACTACTCAATGTTGTGATGACGGCATTGAATTGTTCTAAAATGTCAATTAGGTTGCTAATTAACAACCATTCATTATTACTCGATAAAATTTTTCTTAGTTTTTTCCCATCTTTTTTGACTTCTCTGTGTCTAATTCCATATGATTTGTTAAAAGAATGATGGCCTTTTTTAAGTTTAATAATCATACCCATGCCATGTATGTACTATTAATACCAATAATACCAATTTTTTATGGGTGGGTAAAAAAAAAAAAGATAAAAATAGGAAAAAAAGTTAATGTGGCAACAGCAAATTCAACTAAATTTTCATCAGTGAATCATCTCCGTAAAGTAAAAATAATAAAAGTAAGAAAAAACACTAAAGAAACTGAAAAAATCAACGGTGATGGTGGGAAGGGTGAAAATCTTGATATTGTTGTTATTAACGGTGATGAAAATCCGATTACCTCACAACAAAATAATGACACTTTGATGACTTTAGAAAATCAAGATCAAGAACTTAATATCATAAATGTAAACAATAAAAAATATGCCATTTATAATGATGAGCAGGATAATCTTTTTATCGAGGATGAAAATGGTGATTCAATGTATGTTATTCCAAATAATCCTCCATCAGAAACTGCAATCACAATCACAATCACAATCACGACCACGACCACGACCACTGCTGCTGATACACTACAACATATTGGTGATGATCCTCATTCAAATAACAAATGAATCAAATAAAAGATCTTCATCGATATCTTTACTCCAGGGTAGAAGTGACAATACCAAATCTGGTAGCAATAGTGAGAAGAATTTTGGCGAGAAGGATAATAATAATAATAGTGATAATAATAATGGTGGTAATAATAATGATGATAAAAAATTATGACAAATAAAATTCAAAAAACAATTATTTATTATAATATAGCAAATTTTAAAAAATGTGATGATAAATAAATGTCAAATGCTTTTATCAGCTTGTCCAGAAATTTTGTGCGCTTTATTGAGGGTGGTGATGGGCAGATATACTGTTGTTTTTAATAAGCCATTTCTTTACGAAAAATATTATGAAGAATCATTTTTTTTGGGAATAACCAAAAAATAAATTTATTTATTTGATTAATAAACTCAATAAAAATCATCATCAATCCTTTTTAGAAGTTTATAAATTTAATCGGTTAAACCACGGTCAGCCTCAACCGCGGCTCAGCTACAGTTGAGTCAACCGTTAACATCCCTATTGTAAGCTTTATTGTCAAATGATGGATGACTTGCAAATATTTTATAGCTCCCTTTTTATCAATATTTATACAGTATTTGTCTTGACGGATTTTATTAATAATAGTAAATTCATGCCACAGTGACAATTCTACAGTATAACCCTTGTTTCAACGGACTTCGTTTCAATGGATTATAATTAAATTGGCGTCTCAACGGATTTTAAATGAAATTTTCTTATATGTCCAGCCGCTCCGTTGAAACGAGGGTTTTACTGTATATTAATACTAACATCAATATATTGATCTCACCATCACACATCACGACTGATTTTACGTGACATGGAAATAACAATTTAATGTACGCGAGCGAAAAAAACGCTTTAATAAAAATAAAATTTCTTATGAATTAAAATGGATTTCTTTGTACAAGTCAAGTTGGTGATATTAATATATTAAAAGAATCCGATAAATGGCTTAAAGTTAATCCAAATTCTTATCAAGCAACATAAAAAGACTACCTGTTACTCCGCTGCTAATATTGAAGAAGCATGGTCCATTCTCAAGAACAAAAAAAGACAAAGATAGAGCAACAGTCCTACTTACATGCGATGTAACTGGTCCAGAGAAGTGAATGCTTTTTTTACATACAAATATCAAAATCCGCGCTCATTAATAAAAAATTAAATCTACAACATGTCCTCATCTACTACTACTAAAAAAATCCAACTACTGATTTGCAGAAAGCTGCTTTATACAAGAAAAGACCAATGAAGATGATTACATGTACTAAAGCTGAATTCTCTAGAGCCTTTTTTTTCTTCAGCAGGATGAGGATTGCGAGGCTCTCGAATATATTGAGGCCAAAAAAAAAAGTGCTACCTATTAAGCAAAATAACACGGTGCAAGCATCAAATAGCCATTTTTTAGTGAATTATTCATCTATAAATTAATAATTTATGAAGATTGATGACATCATAAACATACAAGTGCATGACCTGTTTAAATATCAAGTGCGTAAAGGGGCGGTTAAAAACCTAATTTAGTGACAATTGTCTTGACTAAACATATGACTAAATAGTCGAGTCATTTTAGCCAAGTTCTCATTTGAATTACGCGGCCAGCCCTGATCAAGTGCATAAATTTCCCTCGGCCCAAAGAATATGCACTTGGACAGGTGTCGAAGAGGGAATTATTTATCATTAATAAAATCACATGACTGCATTCTAAATTTAAAAAACTTTGTACTTTAAAAAATTATAATAAGGACAAGGCGGAAAAAAAAGTTATACAAAAGAATTAGACAAGATTGAAAAAAAAAGAACAGGGTTAATCGATCATCCAATTGTGCTTTCCCAAAAGAAAGAATCCTTTTTCATTGTTGTTAGAAGTCCAAGCATAAATTCTGTAGTATTTAAGAATTGTTTTCTGTGGTATAAACAAATGGTTAATAATTTAATTAATCAATATAATCAAAGGTGGCAGGCTAACTTTAGGGTAGAAGTTTGATAATAATATAATGTATTGCATTGTTTTCTGAAGTAACAGCCTTAAATTCTACGAGACTATACTATTTATTTTAGATGGTTTTAATTTTATATTAGGTTTGTTCTAGCTATAAATTGATTTTTTGTAAAAAAACAACTTGCTTGTTCTTTAAAAGCATGTCGTGTCTGTTACTAAATCCTTAACAGTGAGAAAAAACATTCATAATAACAACGGAAAAAGACCTGATATATTCACAAGAAATTAGAGGAATTGATTTTTATAATCATAACAGGAATTGCCTAGATCCCGTAAGATGATGGCAGTCAGCATGTATATACATACCAGCTCGAAATTAGCATCTCGTTAAATTTGAAAAGCATTATAAACAGCATATAATAAATGTAATAAATAATACAAATTCAACAAAAAAAAAAAATACACGTTTTTATCTTATTTTCTCTACAAAATGTATATAATTGATGTCTCCATGTTTTCTTTAATTTGAATAATCACCTAATTGAAATCTTTTGAAGTCATATAACAATGCACTTATCCTACGTCCACCAAACCATCTATTATCCAATTTTTGTTTGGCCTTCTCTGCAGCTACAACATACAAATAAATATATTTTTGTTATTAATAATAATTATTATTAATGTGTAAAAAAATGAGAAAACAATACGACAATGATGGTGATGATGGTGACGATGACGTTAAAAAAAAAAATATACTTATTCCATCATCATATTGAACAAAAATTTTCACTGATTCCTCTTCATTTTCAAATTCATGACCATCATCTTTACTAATATGAACTACTACTTTAACTACTTTGCCATAATTGTTACATTCATCACGAATTTCATCTTCAAGAGCATCATCAATTTCTGATGGGACAACCGCATTACGAATTACCAAAACAGGAGATGTCTAAAGAAATTATCATTGAAGTAAATTAAATAATTAAATAAATGATTATTGCTGTTATTGTTATCATTATCATTATTGTCTATTTACATCTCTTGCCAACTTCTGCATAATTGCATAACGTTGACTGGAAGTAATACTCATGTTTTCTTCTTGAGCAACTGATTCCACAGACGTTTGACTTCTTGATACAATATCCACCGCTATTTTTGCTGCTACATTTTGAGCTTTGGCGGTTGCAGCTATAATAAAAAATGATTATAAATAATAATAATAATAATATCTAAATTAAAATTTTATTATACACTATTTTATTAATATAATAAGTAATTAATTAAAACCTGCTGCAGACAGTAAAGTTGATGATGATGACATCCCTCCAAAAAGTGATAATGATGATGCTTGCGGAGGTGGTGGTAATGGTGGCGGTAACTTCTCAATTGACTTCATGCCTTCACTAAGAGGTCCACCAATTACTGCTTTCCTTACACGTAACATCAACCCTCCCAACTCAAAATTATTCATAGAGGTTACTGATGTATTAGCAGCAATTTCATCCTCAAATTCGATGAATCTATATATACATAGAAATTTATGATAATCATTGTTAATAATAATTTGTTTAAAATAATTTGTTTAAATGGTAATAATATATAAATGTGTGTATATGTATATTATTCTAAAATTTTAAAAATTTTGTTGCTTTTCGTCAAGGTAAAATTTCATTGAATATACTGAATGGTCGTTTAAGATCCAAATGAAATCCTGAATATCATTACAATCACCATCTTTCAATGTGCCCAGTATATATATAAACGATTTATGTGAATAAAAATAGAATAAATAAAAAAAAAATAGAAAAAATATAATATAGTATAATATAGTATAATATAGTATAATATATAATATCACACTATTGAAATAGAGTGCATAGAGTGCATAAATAAAAGTAAATGAGTTATAAATAGACTGTAATATCATAATAAAACCAACTAGTAGATCTAGTGGTAACAAGATCTAAAAAAATTTCATATTTTTTAAAAAAAATATGTATATATATATATAATATTAAAACCCTCCCAATGATGATTATAAAGATTTTATAAAGCCTATTTGTTTAAATCTTCATCATGACTAAAATCTACTCAAATAAGAACTTGACATTCCAATATTATATAATACAGAAATCTTAAACAGCAACAACAATGTAGAATAATAATAATAAAAAATAAATCTTACCCGTATCCTTTATGTTTTCTTGTAATGAGATCAGGCTAGTATTTTAATAATAAAAATGTGAAAAAATATTAATTAACATAAACTCACTTGATAAAGATTTAAAAATAATTTACCATTAGAACACAATGTATAATCTTGCCAAATGATTCAAATATGCTCATTAAATCTCTCTCGCTTATGTATTCATTAACATTCGAAACATATATTCGAGTCTTTGGTGGTGGCAAAAATCCTATAATTCTTTGTTTAGTATAACACAATATTCAAAATATCAAAACAAATATAAAATAAAATAAATAAATAAAATTTCAATTATCCTGACCAGCAGCTGTAGCAGCTGTATAATTATTTGGTCTACCAACTTTCAACTGTCTATTATTGTTATTATAAATAAAAAAAAAAAAATGCACTTGTTAGAAATCTTTGTAAATATCAATTAATATAATAATAAACTAATAGCAATAATACCTTCCGCCTAATTCAGCACCATTCATTGTTTCAAGAGCCAATGATGCACCCTCAGGAGTTTCATATTCAATAAAACAAAAACCTTTATGTTTACCTGTAAGTGGATCTAATGACATGCTGATGCTTTTTATTGTGCCAAATTGTCCAAATACAACACGTACATGTTGTTCAGTTAGTTCAAAATTAATTGATCCAACATAAATACGTGATAATACAGATATAGATCGAAGATCCATTATCCCAGATGTTAATCCCAGGTTAGAAGTTGAAAAATAATAAGAATCAATTGGTGGTGAGTCATTTCTTTTATCAATTGTTTGCAATAACTATAGAAATAAATTAAATAGTAATTAATTTAGTGATAAATTATTATATTTTTATTTTTGTAACACAGCTGATATATTCATTATGCTTCTTAGAAATTATCAACATGAAGAAGATCTTCTCAACGATATATTTAACAGTAATAATTCATCAACAAAAAAAATTTGATAAATTTTTATTATTGATTGACTAATACTAATATTAAATCACTAACTAATGCTAATACTTGTTAACACTAAATGCTAACATCAATCTTATCATTTAAAGATAATTTTATTGATTTGAAAAAAAAAAACAGAGTTCATGAGAGATCTATTCATACCACAGTTTGTATTTCTCTTATGTAGGCTTTTGCTTTATCTAAAGCAGCCTTTTGTGATTCATTTAAATTATAGATGTCATCTATCTGAAGTCTATTACTAGATGGTTGAGAATTTGTTTCTGTGGAATTGGATGAATTTGGTGATAACTCGGGATTTGAAGAAGCTTGAGATGATGGATTTGTGACTTCTTTGGGTGGAGGTGTAGTATTCTCGTCAGATGAGGAAATGTCCATTTTTTCCATTTTTAACAATTTTTGTAAAAGTTATTTTAAACCCTCCAAAATAGGGTGACTCTTACCTACTTCTGTTACACGCACTAAAAATTTATGTATAATAGATGATCGCACTATACTTGTCCAGAAATTTTGAATATTCAAATCATTTAGCCAATTTGTTCATGTTCTCACAGACTTTGAAAATCAATGTTTCTAGAGTAGCAATAATAATACAATTCACTGCATGGTATTGATGAATAAAAAAATTAAAACAAGCTTCTAACAAGAAAAATCAACCACTAACTTTTAACCCTTAGTAGTAATCACTTTTAGTTCACCTTTCGAGAAACCACTTGCCATTTGGACATAGCCATTTGATTGGTTGACCATGACAGTAAAATTATGTATGATTAGAGGATCACCCATTATATATTATTATTTTTCAAGCACTAATTATATATAATATAAAATTTATTTATCATCTAATTAATGATAATCAATTCAATTCAATTGGAAAATTAATTAATACAAATATATGAATTAGTATTTTATTAGTTTTGTAGGATTTTCTAAAACCTCTGATAAAAAATTTTTTGGAAATTATTAAAAATCTGTATACTGCAACATGCTTATATTTATATAATATTTGATCATCTTCTTGCAAGTATAACCTTCATTTCTTTATCATGTGTAATTTTGAATCCATTTAACACATCTTTAGCCACTGTTGCTTTATGATCTGCCTCATATTCTAGAAATGCAATATCTGATTTTCAGGTACAAGATGGACTTTTTTGAAACCAGGATATCTGATAACAATAATAATAATATTATGATTAAATTATTAGCTCCAGATGTGATAATAATTTGATATTGACAAATGTAATACATACTGTTGAAATAAGAAACTTCACATTTCATCAGTGACATCTGATGGTAAATTTTGTATGTATAAAATTCTATTAGGCAACACAATTTCAGATTGTTGTGTTTCAGGTCTTGGTGATTATTATTATTCTTTTTTCCATTTTTAGCAAAACAATTTTTAAATAATTGATTAACAAAGTTGGTTTTTTTGTTAAGGATCAAATTTAATGATTTTTACAATATAATTAATTACTAACTTCCAGTGAATCAAATTCACTTTCTTTGAAAGCTTCACCATTTGCTGCCCTCTTATTGTCAAATGCTCCTAATATATATTAAATAAATCATCATCATCATCATCATTATTAATATTAATATTAATGTGATTATGATTATGATTAAGTGGACTTTTTTGAAACCAGGATATCTGATAACAATAATAATAATATTATGATTAAATTATTAGCTCCAGATGTGATAATAATTTGATATTGACAAATGTAATACATACTGTTGAAATAAGAAACTTCACATTTCATCAGTGACATCTGATGGTAAATTTTGTATGTATAAAATTCTATTAGGCAACACAATTTCAGATTGTTGTGTTTCAGGTCTTGGTGATTATTATTATTCTTTTTTCCATTTTTAGCAAAACAATTTTTAAATAATTGATTAACAAAGTTGGTTTTTTTGTTAAGGATCAAATTTAATGATTTTTACAATATAATTAATTACTAACTTCCAGTGAATCAAATTCACTTTCTTTGAAAGCTTCACCATTTGCTGCCCTCTTATTGTCAAATGCTCCTAATATATATTAAATAAATCATCATCATCATCATCATTATTAATATTAATATTAATGTGATTATGATTATGATTAAGTACCTTCTTCTTCATGTTGTCTTTTTTTAATACACCTAATTGGCCTGTTACTGTTTGAGTAGAAGCAATAGTTCCTGGCCTTTTCCATGTTTCAACAAGTTTTGCAATAGCATTTTGCATATTCTATATGCTAATTAGTTATAGGAAAATTATCATTGTGAAAATTAAAAAATAAATAAATAATGATGATAAGTTGACAGGAATTAATTAAAGAAGAAAAAAATAAAGAAATTGTTAGATCAGCTTCATTTTAATTATAACTCAGCTATAAGAAATAAATAATAAGTTTTTTATTGGATTATATTAATTAAAGAAAGATTAATTTAAATAGAAAAAATACATTTAAATATAACTATGCAAAAGAAGAACAAAGGTTATATTTTTTTTATCAACTTTTTCAAAAATCATAATAAAAAAATCAATGATTTTTATTGGAAAATTTACTATTTGTTTATCATAGAAATTGAACCCATTAAGTCCTCTCATAGCTGCTGTTGTGATTTGCATTTATCTAAATACAATAAATGCTTGCCCACCCATTTTAATTATTTTTTAATGCAACAATATCAAGGATCCTTCCATATGCTGAAAACAATGCATATGATGATCCTTCAACTCTAATATTAAAAAATCTTGTTAAAGTGATCATGAAAATATGCCAAGCATACCAAACATAAATACAATTATCATCTTTATTGATTTTCATTTAAATTTCAAGAATATAAATATTGATTTGGTGGAATACTTGTACTTTAAAAAATTTTTTTTTGCTGATCATATGTAAACAAAAAGGCAACTCTCTCAGAGAAGCCTTGGATAGTGAGTGAATTGGAAGGATGATGATATTAATGTTATTTCGGAAAATGATATTTACACTGATAATGAAATTGGGTTTATGAAAAAGGAGGGAAAGAAACCCCACTGCTCTAGCTAATAAATCACTTCTCAATTGGTGGTGTGTTTTCTTCCAAAAGTGAAGAAGAGGATGTGAATTGAGATGTAAAGAATATTAAAAATGCTGAGAAAATTAATGATTGGATTGTGATTCTAAATGGAATTGTTACTAACAATATATTATTATTATTATTATAGACCTTAAAATTCTTTAATTGATAAATTATATCAAAACAACAACCAACTAAACAAGTACTAAAACTTTACATGAAAAGAATTATCCAACTTGAAGGGTTCTTTTAAATGAATCAATACAAAAAGAAAATGAATACTTTTGCTGCAATGAGTATAATGAAACATAAAATTAAAAAAATAATCAACAGCATGAGGCTGAAATGCACATATTATTACTGTTTTTGCACACCTTAAATATATGGTTTTTGTAAATCATTAATTATTTATGTATACAGATACAAGGTAAGGTGAATATGAAGAAGATGAAGAAGAAAAGATTGTTATTAAAAGGAAAGGAAAGTTCTTGAATTCACTTCAGAAGACTTGTATAAGAGTTACTAGAAGTTATGGAGGCAAAGTAATCATGTGCTTTCACTGGAACAAGAAAAATTAGATAGACAAAGTCAATTACTATCAATTTATGAATATATATAAGATTATAAAAAAAAAGATGTATGTTATTGAAGTATTTCTTTGTGTGAATCATCTATCAATTATCAATATGATTTACAAAACCTTTAAATAAAATGGTTTATTTGTATTACCAAATCTTCTAATTTTAATTATAAAAAAATTTATAGCTACATTTTACTTGGATCAAGTTGTTGATTGCTACCACCTTCTCTTAATACACTTTCCATTTCCCAAATTGCTTGTGTGACAGCTTTGTTAAGCTGCAGTACTTTGTTTTTATCTTTTGAGTTTGAGAAAGTAAATCATTTTTATGATTTTCTCATAATTTTAATAAAGTTTGAGTGTCATTTAATAAAAGTGTTGTTTTTAAATCATGTGTCAAACTCAATAGACCTTCACAACATTGAACCTAATTATGACAATAATAAGTAATTTCTAATGGTAATAATGAACTTGATTTACTTTGATCTTTACCATGTTTGCTGCACATAATTCATCTACCAGTCCATCCAATGCATTTTTATATTTATCTTTTTCAACTGACTAAAATGAAGAACTCATATAATTACAACCTACAATTTGTTATTTTCCAAACAAAGCTCTCCCCTTTTTAATCACTGATATATACAGATACCTTTTAAAATAAGAAAAAAAGAAAGAAGACATACTTTGTCGGTATCTCTACCAGGTACTCTAATAGATTCATGAATACCTGAACCTTTTACAATATCATGAAATGAAACAACAAATTGGTCAATTTCATTATCAAGTTTTTTATTTAATCCTTCCTCTACATTTGAAAAATAGGTATTTAATGATGCTGTAGTTGTAGTAGTGCTGCCAATTGACAAATTTGAAGTTGATAATGCAGAGGTTATTGGTGCATCTGTGGTAAAATGTGAATGTTGCTTTTTTTTTTTTTTGAAAATCTATATTGAAATTTTAGAGAATCATTTCTAAATCAAGACTGAAAAATACTTGCTTACTTTATATGGTGATCGGCAGGGAAAATCAGTAACCTTTTATAAAAAAAGTTGTAAGATAAAATTTTTTCGTGTACACAAGAACATATTTATGTATTTTTGTTGTCTTTAATTATCTAACAAGTTATGACAAAATTAGTAAATTTTAATATAAAATCATCCCCAGATGAGATTCAAATCTGCAGTAAATTCTAATTTTATTAAGAATAATTTTACCACCTGAAATCTTAACTTAAATATCATTATCATCAATGCCATCATAATCCATTATTGCTATATCAGTCAGGATTATTAACAAATTTGGAAATCGAATCTAGAAAAATTGGAACTCCTTTGTCAATCAATTCATGTGTGGCGAACGAGTTAATGTGATACTTTGCTGCCTTTGAAAACCTTTTTTTTTTTAAAATTATAATAATAATAATCGAAATAAACAGTATTGAACTTGCCTTTTCATAATCTACTAAAAATCTACAAAAACCTATTAATTTGTTCAAAGTAAGCCTTTACATAAATTTAAAGAAATT